AGTGATGAACTCGTAACCATTATTGGCTCTGGTACCATCTGTGGCAGAACCGCCCGAAATAACACGCTTACGGAGGTGCTTGTCTTCCACCAGACACTAAGCACCCCGAAAGCAAGCTACAGCGGGCAGTATCCGTCGAGCACACCCCAAGAGAGAACCCAAAAGATCCATATTTTTTCCAAGGATTCAATAATGAGAACGAGTTACAAGACTTGTCCATTTCATACATCAGATTTTCTTAAAAGTACATTATTACAATACCAAATGTCAGAGTGCGGAATGATAAACAGCGGAATTTAAAATAAACATCTAGCGATAAGAATGAGGATCCGTCTGAGCCCACTAGTGGGAATAATTTCCACGCATCACCTGCAATAGGGGAAAATAAACCCTGAGTATACAATGTACTCGCAAGACTTATCCGACTAGTGGGAATAATTTCCTGACTCCAAGAAATATGATGAGCTTTATGGTTTGCTGGTTTTCTTTTAGCAGAAAGCGATACTAATAGTGAGTCTTTATTTATGTTATTATTATCAGCTGTATTAAGTTATTATCTATCCAGTCTATATAAGCACCTATTCTACTTTCAAGCAAGAGTTGAGCAATCAGTTTTATTTTATCACCTTTCATCTTTCAGTTCTTACTATGGTGCTAGACACGAAACAAGCCGTATCGAATCGTCCGACGATTCGTGAATCAATACCCCTAGCTGGGTACCCCAAAAACACACGCCCCGCTTGCACCCCAGGCACAAGCAGGACTAACCCATCACCCTCCTGTCCTGGGTGTCCAGGTCCCCGTCTAAACTTGGACTCCAAGCCCCTACTCCTAAGTCCCGGACTCAGTGCGGTGCAAGGACCTCCACCATTCTCGTCTCCAATCAGTCGGTCCGGAAAGAGCCAGATCCATGATAAGAGAGCAATGACCGGTCCTTAATTAAATCTGTGACTTGCCCACGATGCCTTATGCAACGACCGGTTCTTAATTGACACAGACAGGAAAAAAGTGTAACCGAGATATGCCCTATTGGTCGCAGGACACAACCCCTTACACCCACCAGTACCCAAACCATATTCCTGCCCGGTTGCCATTTTTCCTTTCCATCATTTATCATGAGTGATCATAAATATCACCTATTTGCGAGTAACGGCAGGTTACTCACGCTACCGAATTCCTGAGCATAGCACTACTCGACCTATACTAGTAGGACTCTTGGGTAGATATATTTATGCATGTAGTTTCCATAAAATGCCTGTAACTTAAATGCACATCACATATATATATTCAGTGATCATTAAAATAGGGGTTATGCACCGGGGCTTGCCTTGGGCAGGCGACGGGTTAGTAAGGTCAGCACCAAAAGGCTCTGGAGCTCCCTCCTGTACGAGGATCCCCTTCTCGTACTCCTCAATGACTTCGTCGTACTCTTGTTCATCGACGAGCATGAATTCTACCAGCTCGTGATCTGCATGCATGAAATGATGATGCAATACTTAGTAATATAGCAACAACAACTCTTAAAATAAAGGTACATCTGTTTAACCGCTAAGCTAGTTCTACTGACCACAGTACTAAGCTATCTATCATTGCCGATAACAAGTTTGATGTATGGTATACAATATTATAACAACTACAGGTATTCTTACTCCTACTGTTGATCTACGCTATATACGATAAAGCAAGGGTAGTAGCTACTCTATTTAGCAACTCACTCTAAGGCTACAAAATTTACAGCAAGTACATAATAACCTAGTGAGCCCACTGTAAAATTTTCATAGCTATATCCATCCGCATTTTACCATAAAAATTCCTACAATTATTAATCTACATAATATTAAGCTCTCTAGTTTGAATTTGTGACCCCATCATTGTCACAGCTAACGGTAATCTAACTGTACTAACAAGTAGATGGTATTTTTGCGAACCTAACAAAATTAGTCTCACTATTTTTGAACAACTACACAATTTACTATAATTTATCAAAGTTCAGCTAGAAATTAAATTGAATAAACGTTTGTAATTCACTAGATAATGGAAACATGAATTTCTACGGCGCGGCCCGCGAGCGACGGCTCGGCCCACCCCGGCGTCCTGCCCGCGCGCAGACGTAGCAACCAGCGTGGCCCATTTTAGGCAGCCCACAGTGGAGCCGCGCGGCTGGCCCTTTTAGCGAAAAAGCCCCCGTTCTTTACCCTATTCGCACAACCCACTCGAGTACTATTTCACCGAGTCACAGAGTTTGCATCAAGGCCCCTACTTCTATTTGAACTCACGTTTTACGCAGCACCTGGCCGGACAAATAGGGTCGCGGCCTCACCGGCCAAACGTCGGTGGGCACAACCCTCTCCGGCATGCACCAGCTCCCCCATGAGCATCTACGTATCATGCGCGACCGATTGAGGTAACAAATGCACAGAATGGCGCACCACGTAGGCATGGCCACGTGCCGCGGCAAGGTCTGGCCGCAGTAGCTCGACGTCGACAAAACCATCTACCCGAACACCTCTACTGCTACTCGGTGACCATCAGCAGTCTAAAAGTAACCACCTTGAAGCCCTAATTGAATAGCTGTTGCACCCAACTAAGCTGGCCACAGGAGCGGCATCAAAACCAGTTCACCGGCGGCCGCCCCCACGCTCGGCGAGCCTCATCCCTAATTGAGTCAACCAGCTACTCTACAAGCAAGAGGACCTCACCAGCGATGTGATGGATGGGCTGGGCAAAGTCACAAGGAACGACAATGGCCTGGCCACGCATGCGAGGTGGTTTTGATTCACGCCGGCCGCGGAGAAGACGTTCCCGGTGACCTGCTGCACCGTCAACGGGGCCACTGCACGGGCGAGGCAAATGAGTCAAGGAGAGGCAACAGCCGTGCTCGATTGAAACAAAAGAGCAAGGAGCAGTGCCCCGGACTGAGAACTCGTCTCGCCGGCCATGGCGGACCACCGAGGGGACAACTCTCCCCATTACCTCACCGAAGGAAGGAAGCCCGTCGAATTGACTCCAATTGGAAGCTAACTACTCTAGCTATTTGGGCGCACGGTGAATTGGAAAGGGGTGGATGGTACACGACCAATTTGAGGGCAACGACGTTCGGCTTAGAGGTGACAATTGCGACGGTGAAAACTTAAATCAGCGCCCGGCAACGTACTACCACCCCGGGCAAGTTAGGCCCAACGCTGTACCCCCACTCGTCCTCCGAACATGGGCAAATGCGAGAGGGGACAGGCTCCTGGAGTTAGGCCTTGAGCGCGCGCGCCGACCGGTGACTTTCCAGACGATGCGACGGGCAGGCGTGGTGTGTACACGCGCGCAACCGTGAAGAAAAGGGCCGGCGAGGCCTACCCATGCGTGCGCAGGCGCAATGTCAACGATAGTAGTGGCTGTGCAGGCGGTGCGCGTGAGCTTGCTCGGGCGAGTGGCGACACCGGTTCGGACGGCTGAACGTGACGGCGAGCAGTGGCGCAGGCGGACATGATGGAGGGCAGAGCATCCAGGTCCACCGGGCCCCAGTGCGCGCGTCGCGCGGCGCAGCGCGCGCGCGCGCGCGAGCGCGAGCATGGTGGCGACCATGCGGTGTGACGGCGGCGGCGATTGCGATGCCGGCGGCGATGGCGGCAATAGCGCAGGCGGCGGCCGCGAAGCCAGCGAGCTGCAGCGCAATAAATTGTTGGATGTCGTGGCGATGATGCGCAGGAGCCAGCAGCGTGGGGACGTGGGTGCGCACAGCGCGACGGTGGCGACGCGGCCGGCGTGGCGGCCTTCGCTAAGTGCCAGCAGCCGGCGGCTAGGCGCCGGCGAGGGCGGTGACCGCGGCCAGCACTGGCTTCGTTCAACAATATGTGACTTACACGCTTTTTAAAGCTGTTGAAAAATCCTACCCGATGGTCCAAACGCCAAACCACTTCTTCTATACTCTAGAGGGTACGTAGAGGTATCGACCTAAGCCACGACATCTCGCCACTTCTTAAGCCGATCGCTCTATAAAAATTGCCAAACATGACTTCGTCGACCCATTTATAGACTTACGCGGAATGGCTAAACCTCGAACGATTTCGCGTCGAATTCCAATTCCGACCTACTTGATATACTAGCTAGCGAACCTCGTCCTCGACCGCACATATTTCATCGTCGCCTACGAAGTTCGGGCTACCCACTTTACTACATTCCGCCGATGCGTTCCGTAGCATTTCCATCCGATAAAAATTCATTTAGAATCCTAAGTGATAATGCGAGGCACGAAACATAACCTTCGTTTCATGTTTCAACTGAACGTTTCAAGCTCCGAATATTGATTTATACTCTATATTACACGCATGCAGGGTTTTTAGCAAAAACTGTACAACGTAACACCGAGAGTGTTACACAATATGCCGATTCGTGAGGTAGGGCGAAGTGGGGAGAGAAAAACCCGAGATGGAGGAGAAAGAAGAGGAAGAAGGCTAGGACAGGAAGGTTGAGGGCTGGGTTAAAACACCACCTCGGCGCCATAGATATTAGCGCCAAGCTCGGCGCCAGGATCTACGGCGTCAAGCTCGGCGCTAGGATCTACGGCGCCGAGTTACCTGCCAAGTCAGCGCCACCTCTGCGTCGAGCCCAAGACCTCGGCGCCAGCAACGATGGCGTCGAGACGTGTAAGCTCGGCGTCAGCAACGATGGCGCCAAGCTAAGGGTCTAGATTTTAAAATTATACCTCCAGGAGTATATTTGTGAAAAATTCGGGGCTCTGCCCACCTCTGTGTGTGGTTCTGAAACTTCGTAGGCATGCATTGAGGAGGCTCAAGAAAGCCATTGAATATTTGTTTATCGAGAAGATGCAGCTGCTGATCACTACTAAATAATAAAAATGCAGTGTCCACACTCGTCTTTGAGGTCACTACGTACTGACCTCAAGAAATTTTTAATAGGGAACATAAAAATTGCCTTGGCTGGGAATTTTTTTAATATAATATGAAATTAAAGCTATGGTCTTTGCCTAAGCATGGAAGCGAACTCACCGTGACCTCGATGGGCACCCTGTTGTCAATGCGATGCTGGTAGTAGAGGTCGATGCAGTCGACGCCAAGGCGCTGGAGGCTGCCCTCGCACGAGGCGCGCACGTACGCCGGGTCGCCGCGGACCCCCCAGTTGCCGTCGGCGTCCATGAGGACGCCGAACTTGGTGGCCAGCTGCACCTTCTCCCTCACCCCGCCACCTGCCTGCAGCGCCCTGCCGAGGAGGAGCTCGTTGGTGTGGGGCCCGTACACGTCCGAGGTGTCGAGGAGGGTGACGCCGGCGGAGACGGCGTGGTGGATGAGCGCGATCATGTCCGGCTCCGGCTTGGGCGGGCCGTAGTAGGCGGGCATGCCCATGCAGCCGATGCCCTGCGCCGAGACCTCGAGCCCCTGCGAGCCCAGCTTCATGCGCGGCACCACCATGGGAGACGCGGCCATGCTCTCTGTGGCTCTTGAGCAGCTGAGTGTTCTGTTCTAGGCTTATGGCTTCACTGCTTGAGTGTTGAGTGAAGTGGGGCTATTCGCGCCTCAATTTATTATATATAGCAAATTGGTAGGCCAAACGTACGTCACGGAATAGGTCACCAGGCCGGCGGCTTTTAACCGTGGCCACAGGATTGCGTTGAAGCTTTTCGGGTGTGGGTTGTAGATTTTGATTTTAACGAAGACGATTTTCTAGATATAATTTTTTTGGTGCATAGTTATTGGCCTCCTAAGCGAGGGACGTTTTTTCTATACGAGGAAGAAATATAAGAACAGTAGTGTGTGTTGCCTCCATCATGTGATTTCTTTTTAGTTTATTCCAATCTGCTATAATGAGGACACAGACAACATATTGCTGCCTCCGTCCACAAAAGAATACATTTCTCGCTTTTTGAGAAGTCAAAAAGTTCAAACTTTGACAAAATTTATATAAAAAGTATTAATTTTTTTAATATAAAATAAGTATCATTAAATTAGTCATAGAATATATTTTCATAATAAAATTATTTAGACACATAAATACTAATACTATTTAATATAAACTTGAGCTAAATTTTAATGGCACGATTTTTATAATTGCATTCTTTTTTGAACTGAGGGAATAATATAAGTTTAGCCTTTCCATAAAAAGAAAATAAGTTTAGCCTGGTTAAACCTGTGTCAAAGGTTCCCAAGTACTATACTCCCTCTATCTCTAAATATCTGTCATTTTCGCTTCTGAGAATCAACTTTAACTAAATATATATTAAAAATATTAATATTTATGATATATAATTACTATTATTGGAAAGATCTTTGAATCTAGTTTTAATAAATTTATTTGGAGATATAAATGTTACACATATTTTCTAGAAATTAAGTCAAACTTACGGTACGTACACCAATAACAATAGTTATTTAGAGACGGAGGAGTATAAAATAACTAAGTTGGCCTAGATGCTTTCTAGGCAGTAGTTGTCTCGTGTTGTCAATTGTCAGTAATATTAATATATATCTGGTACTGCTAAAGGTCATGGTCATCGATATATAATAAGAAGCACCTAGCTAGGCCTACAACATACTCCTCGATTCTAAATTATAATTTATTTTTGACTTTTTAAGTTCATTTATTTTACTATATATCTAAATATATTATTATATCTAAATACATAATAAAATAGATGTAAAAAAATCAAAGCGACTTATAATTTGAAATGGAACGAATAGTTTATACTGATACTAGTAACTGGGAATCTTTAATTTGACGCATATACTCCGTATGTGTTTTGTTAAACTTACTTATGTTAATACTAGTATAGTATGAGTGATAAGGACTGGAACGATGCATGTATGCATGGGGGGGCCTGTTCATTTGGTTAGTCTTTTAGTCTTTGGTTTAGGAAATTTTGGTGGTCTTTGGTTTTTTGTGTGAGGAAAACATTATTGGTTTTATTTGGTTTTGAAATTTGACCGAAAAAAAACAAACAAGCTGATGATCTCAGAGTAAAGCTCCTTCTACTTTTTTTTTGTATGGTCAAGACTGACTGCTTGACTTTTGGACACAGGTTCCTGTGTGCCACCTGCTCCATATGTCGCTTTCCTATCCTTTCGGGAGGGACTGTCCCTACGTGTCTCACTGCTCTGCTCAGGTCTGTGTCTTGATTAGGCCTCGTTTGTTTGTCAAACAAAATAGCTTATATATAACTAATAACTAAAGCTGGCTTATAGGTTAATTGTAGGTAGTATATATGGTAAACTATTAACTACGGAGTAGATGCTAAAATAAACTGCTCTTTGATGGCTTATTTCAGTTTATATATGTTGACATCTTAGTGTGATATTTTACAATAGTATCCATCACCCTTATAAACCAGAATATATAGGCCTATAGGAATCAAATAGACCAAATATAGTGTTGTAGGAGATAGTTGTTATCCGCACTAGAAAGAGGAGAGTTTGACCGCACTAGAAAGAGGAGAGTTTGAATCTCGTTCTCATTTTTTAGTCGATCGATTCTCATGTTTAGCCGATTAAAATAAGTCCACACCTCGTTGTCTCATAAGTAAAATATTTATAAGTTTGACTAGGTATATATAAAATAGTATTATTTTTTTATCTTCAAATAAGTTTATGATGATTAAATTTCACTTGTGGTTATTGAACTTTTCTCGAGTTCTCATCTCAGTTTTGATACTTGCAAATTGCACACGACTCTCTAAACTTGCATATTCATCTCCCTAGACTTGTTGCAAGTTCTCATCCCTTTAGTGAAATTTAATCTAAGTTTATTACGGAACTATACATTTCACGGTCAATCTAGCAATATTTTTTTATTACACATCATAAACATTTCCTATTTTTTTGGAATATGTTTGGTCAAATTTACAAAACGAGATGTATATTTGTTTCGGGATGACATATAGGGCCATAGGGGTACGTGAAATAGCTAGCCCCGTGCTGATTGGCTGGTGGAAGAGTAATCGCGTGACAGAAGATGACAAATGGGATATGAGTCAAAAAAAAGTGCGTCCCAAAAGTCATGTGGCAGCGGATCGATGGATGTCCATGTGTCACTTTCCGAGTGTCCACCTCGAATCTCTCAACATGTGTCCATCCATCACGTGGGTTATTGCGTGTCGTGTCATTTCTAAATTAACGAGCGAGGTCTTAACTAGCCCTAGATTCCATGCATCGTCGTCTTGCGCTCCAAGCTAGTAAGGAAATTATTAATCTGGATACGTATTATCCTTGTTTACAGTTGGCCAACCTCTAGTATGGCTTCCTAGAGTCAATTTTGACTTGTTTGGTTGCTTGAAAATAGGCTAGGGCCTGGCTAGGGCTGGCCATCCGTACCTCTAGAGCCAGGCTAGCATTGAATGACCAAATTGGCCGTTTTTCTTGGGCCAAGTCCGAGCCAGCCCCGTCGGTCGTTCTCCGGAGGCGACCCTCACTGCGTGCTCCGGAGCCGACCCCACCCTGCCCCGGCCCCTCCTCCTTCCTCCTCCCAGTTCGTTGCAGCACGAGCTCGGGTGCGAGCTCCCTCCCCCCACGCCAAGTAAATGCCTCCTCCGATTTTCATCCCTATGTTCCGTCCACCGCCTCCCCTCCATATGAAAATTCTCCCCTTCATCTCCAGGATGCTCATGGAGGAGGACATCGACGACAAGTTCTACCAGTTCCCTGACCACTCGGCGCTCCTCACTACCCAGCAACCCTACGCGCAGATCATCTTCGACTCCGCCACTGCCTCCCCTTTGTCTGAAGATTCTTCCTACGCCACCACGAACACCACGCCCACCACCACAACCAGCAGCAGCAGTGGCTCGGGGACCGCAGACGGCAACTCCACCCTCTCGCTGTAACACCCCGGCTCAGGGCTTAAATAGGATTAATAGGATACTCGTACCAACAAGTTGCAACTTCTTTTCTAGAAGCCCATCTCTTAAGAACTCCAAGGTTAAGCGTGCTTGGCCTGGAGCGATGGGTGACCGACCGGGAAGTTCTTCCCGGGTGCGCACGAGTGAGGACAAAGTGCGCAGAAAAGACAAGTGTTGGTCTGTGAGGGTCGTCTATATCCTAGTTAAGCTGCCAGATGTAAGCGGGCCCAGCCTCGGAGAGGTGGGACGTTACACTCGCCCTCCTCCGACGCCCCCACGTCCTCCCTGACCCCGCCTCCTGGCCACCCTACGACGACCTAGTCGACCTTTTCGACCTGCTCCGCTCCCCGCCGTACCCTTCTCCTGACATGGGGGTCAGCCTCGACGACTTCGCATGACTCTTGTCGCCGGCGGCACAAGGACAAGACGATGCCACCGCGGGATTCCACTCCCACCAGAATCCGCCGTTCTCCGATGGCGGCGATGGGGGAACCCAGCGGCAACAATCTTCCCTCGACGTCCAGAGCCTCGGTCTAATTTTATTATGAAAGTAAATTTCCCGATTAATCTAACAATAATTTACTTTACACATCATAAATATTTACTACTCTTTTTGAATAAGTTTGATCAAACTTTTTAAAAAAAGTTAAGAAGGTAGGGGGTGCGTGCCGATTGGCTGATGGAACAGTAATTGTGTGGCCGATGACAGATGGGATATGAGTCAAACCCTCGTGCGTCCCAAAAGTCATGTGGCAGCGGATGGATCGAGATGTCCGTCCATGTGTCACTTTCTCTCTCTCTCTAGGTCTGTCCGAGAGTGTCCACCTCAGATCGCTCCCATGCATGTCATCCATCCATCACGTGGGTTATTGCGTGTCGTGTCATTTGTAAATTAACGAGGTCTTCTTTACTAAGCCCATGGAATGGATTATACATATATAATATAATATTCCATCGTCTTGCGCTCCAAGCTAAGGAAATTACTAATCTGCATATACCTACTGTTGACTGTTGTACAGTAAGACATACTCTACGAGGTCATGCATTTAATTAATTAGATTAGCCGTAAGTCAGAATAATGGGTATATGTACATATTGCTGCGTAGCTCATGCATGACTTCATACTCGGACCCCGTCTCCTTGCAGCATTATATTCTCGATCGATCGATCGGTTCTGCAAGTATTTTTTTTATTTTGTTTTCTTAAAAAAAAAACTCACAAGATAGTACTGTAGGTGTGTGTAGTGCACGCCTGGTACCGATCGTACCGACCAATGCGTGAAAACCAACATGCATGAACCCTGAATGAAATAAGTGGAACCATATCATATATATTCCAAGTCCTTGAATTGTACTTATACATTACAAGTGCTATAAGACTACGATCGAGCACAAGTGCTGCATCTCATACTTAATTAGCTTGGCCGGCCCGTTTTTGTCTTACCCTGTGTCGTTGCAGGTTGCATGTAAGTAGTTTGTTACATTACATTTGTGCAAGGTGTGTGTGTAGTTTGTCACTATGTTATGGCGAGTGGATCATATCTACTGGTGCCTTCAGTTTCGGACTGCAACCATAACATAGGGTAGCGTTTGGTTGAGAGTTAAGATGGGGTGGGACCGTCCTGTCTCTGGTTTCTGGGACGGGACGGATCCAATTTCTGTTTGGGCCACGTTTAGTTCGGCCGAATCCGCGCCGCCGAATACACTGTAGGCATTTTGTTTTTATTTGGCAATAATTGTCCAATCGTTGACTAATTAGGCTCAAAACGTTCGTCTCGCAAAGTACAACCAAACTGTGCAATTAGTTTTTGATTTCGTCAACATTTAGTACTCCATGCATATACCGCAAATTTGATGTGACGGGGAATCTTCTTTTTGCATAGTGCCAAAGTTTGGAATTTGGGGTGAACTAAACACCCCCTTGGTCAAAGGGGATGGGACCAACCCATTTTTTTTTGGTCCGGAGACATAAAAAGTAGGATTACCCACTGACAAGTGGGGTCTATTCGTCAGTTTCTTTTTCTTTTTCCTCACCGTCGCGAGCTGCCTTATCTCTTTCGCCCTCCCCAACCGTGAACTTGAGCACCCCGCATCCTCAGCCGCAAGCGCCGCCACGTGCCGCCCATCCTCCACCCAGCAGCGTGTGCCATGCGCCCCTATGCCTCGTCTCGCCTCGCACCGGGAATCGAGCTGGGCGCCATCTCATAGAATCGCAGCAGAGGGGCAAGCGGCGCATCTCGTCGGCTCATCGGGGCCTTGGGGGCTCGAGGCGGTGGCTCAGACGCACGCCGGCGGAGGTCGCCGGGGCCGGGGGCGGAGGTCATCGGGTCAGGGTGGAGCCTGCGCGCTCGTCGGCGGCCGAGACGGGGCGGAGCCCACGCTTCTTCCTCGACTCCCGGCAACTTCGGTGAGTCCCTGCTTCTTCCTTCTTCCTCAACTGCGGCAAGCCCCCGCTCCTCATCTCGTTCTTCTCGCGCACGCGTGCGGGCCATGCAGCACTCGTCCCACGAGGACCGTCCCTGTCCGCTCTTTTTTGAGGGGCGAACTGTACCCGGATCCTCAACGAATATTCACTCGTGGGACGTCCTCGTCCCTGCTTGCCTCGGATCCAAACAGCGCTCGTCCCTGGGCCGTTCCATCCCATCCCTTCTCATCCTAGCATCCAAACACTGCCTAGTAGTATGGGTGCTGCTAACAAACAGGTGCATGTTTTTTTTAATTATCTTTGACAACCAACTTTATAGTCGTCGGCCATCTTGGTAAAAGTCTTGAGCAAAATAATCAAGTCGACATGGTAAAATAATCAGCTTTATAGTCAAGCGGCATGCGGCAAGGCATGCAATTAATGGCATCTGAACGAGTCAATGCAATGCGCTTCGCTTCGCCTTCTCCTCTCCTCTCCTCTCCCCAACCCACCCTCCTCCCGCCGCGGTGGCCTTCCGGGAACCTTCTTCCGTCTCTCCTCCACCTCCCGCCCCCGGGCCCGGCCTTCAAAATCAAAACCAGCCACCCCCAACCACCGCCATCCCCAATCCCCCATCCCCTAGGCTACCAGCAGCTAGCTATTCCAGACTCCGTCGCTTCAGGCATCCTCTGCTCCCCAAGTCAAACAAGTCCGGTTCCCAATTTCCCCACGCCAAGTAAAAGCCTCCTCCGATTTCCATCCCTTCGTTCCGCCCACCTCCCCGCACCGCCGCCGGCGAGCGACGAGCCAAGCCAAGCCGCCATGTCCGCCACGCCGGAGGACTTCCTGGCGGCGCAGGAGGGGGCTGCGCCGTACCTGGTGGCGCCGGAGCCATTCTCGCCCTCCGTCTTCCTCGACCTGCCCCCGACGCCGCCGGGGCGCCCGACCGACGACGACGACGACCCGGACCTCATCCTCCCCTTCATCTCCCGGATGCTCATGGAGGAGGACATCGACGACAAGTTCTTCTACCAGTTCCCCGACCACCCGGCGCTCCTCACCGCGCAGCAGCCCTACGCGCAGATCCTCTCCGACTCCGCCACCGCCTCCTCTCCGTCCGAAGATTCCTGCTACGCCGCCGCCGCCGCCACCAACACCACCGCCACCACAACTACAACTACAACCAGCAGCAGCGGCTCGGGGACCGCCGGCGGCAACTCCACCCTCTCGCCCTCCTCCGACGCCCCCTCGTCCTCCCCCGACCCCGCCTCCTGGCCGCCCTACGACGACCAGGTCGACCTCTCCGACCTGCTCCGCTCCCCGCCGTACCTTTCTCCTGACATGGGGGTCGGCCTCGACGACTTCGCCGGACTCTTGTCGCCGGCACAAGGACAGGATGCCGCCCCCGCGGCACGATTCCACTTCCAACAGAGTCCGCCGTTCTCGGATGGCGGCGGAGGAAGAGGAGGAGGAGGAGAAGACCAACGGCAGCAACCTTCCTTCGCCGCCCAGAGCACTGGCGGAGCCCAACAACAGCGCGGCAGCCAGAGCTCCGCCGCGTTCTCCAGTGACAAGGATGAAGAGGAGGAGACGAAGACAGAGTCCACCACCTTTCCTGCTGCCTACGCCGACCACGCCGCGCTGGCCTCGGCCTTCTTCGGCGCCCAGAATGGGGGAAACATGGACATGCTCAACATGGCGTTCCTCAAAGGCATGGAGGAGGCCAAGAAGTTCTTGCCCACCACCAACAGCCTTCTCATCGACCTTGACGACCCCTCTGGCAAATCCTTGCCTAAAGACAGAGACAGCAAGCCCTCCACTGCCTTTGCTGCTACCCAAGTCCAAGTGAAGGAGGAGGAGGAGCAGGTGGTGAATGCAATATCAATGTTTGGGGGAAGCAGAAGCGCCAACGGCAGGGGCCGCAAGAACCGCCACGCCGCGGAGGATGATTTGGAGGCGGAGACAGGCAGGAGCAGCAAGCTGATGATGCCGGAGCAGGAGGAAACCGGTGCCAACGAGCTGTACAATGAAATCTTGAATTGTACCTATGAGTCGTTCATGAAGCGCATGGAGGACCTGCGCATCGCCATGGACAGTGAGACTGAGAAGAGCGCTAGGAAGGTCAGCAGGAAGGGGGCGCGGGGGAAGCAGAGTCTCGTGAACGAGGTCGTCGACCTGCGCACCATGCTCATCCATTGCGCGCAGTCGGTGGCCACCGGCGATCACCGGAGTGCGACTGAGGTGCTGAAGCAGATCAAGCAGCACTCCTCGCCCCGAGGGGACGCCACACAGAGGCTGGCTCATTGTTTCGCCATGGGACTGGAGGCACGGCTTGCAGGCACGGGGAGCCAGGCGTACCAGTCGCTCATGGCACAGCACACCTCGGTCGTGGATGTTCTCAAGGCATACAGGCTGTACGTGGCAGCCTGCTGCTTCATGAAGGTGAATTTCATCTTCTCCCACATGACAGTTGGCGACGCCTTGGCAGGGAGGAGCAAGTTGCACATTGTGGAGTATGGTGTGCAGCATGGATTCCATTATCCAGGTTTGTTCCATCTACTGGCAAGGAGGGAAGGTGGACCGCCAGAGGTGAGGGTCACCGCAATTGCCGTCCCACAGCCTGGGTTTCGCCCAGCCCACCAGATTGAAGAAGCAGGCCACCGTCTCAGCAACATTGCCCGTGAGATGGGCGTGCCATTCAAGTTCCGTGGTATTGCAGCAAAGTGGGAGGCCGTGCGTGCTAAGGACCTCAATATTGATCCGGATGAGGTGCTTGTTGTCAACAGTGAGTGCTATATCGGCAACTTGATGGACGAGAGCGTTTTGGTGGACAGCCTGAGCCCTAGGGACACGGTCCTCAATAACATCCGGGAGATGCGGCCCAATGTGTTCATCCATATCATAGTAAATGGAACCTATGGTGCACCATTCTTTTTGACACGGTTCCGGGAGGCACTCTTCTTTTTCTCGGCACAATTCGACATGATCGATGCGACCATCCCCAGGGACAATGCTGAACGGCTGCTGATCGAGCGGAATATCTTTGGGTCGTTTGCCCTAAATGTGATTGCTTGTGAGGGTGCAGACAGGGTGGAACGGCCTGAAACTTATAAGCAATGGCAGGTGCGAAACCACAGGGCTGGGCTCAGGCAGCTACCACTGAATCCAGAGGTTGTCAAGGCTGCCAGGGACAAGGTCAAGAACTATTATCACAGAGACTTCCTCGTCGATGAGGATAACCGGTGGTTGCTGCTCGGATGGAAGGGACGTGTGCTCTATGCCATGTCGACATGGGTTGCGGAGGATAATAAACCCATCTTTTAGTGCTTGAATCCAACTATAGATCATATTTATATTTAATAGATGGTCTATGTTGAATTATGATCCAGCACCTTGTGGTTGAGGGGACTTATGAGAGTTTAGTGCTGAAACCTTTGAGGTAGAAACAGTTAGAGCTACATAGGTTGTAGATATAGTTCTTGATATACTGCAGAGTTGTAATAATCTACTATGTACAATGTACAGTAGAATTAAAACCTTGTAGTTGACAAGTGGTTACTTGTTTGACCTCTGAAGGCTTAATAAACCCTGAAAAGTATCTAATGATGCATGATATGAAGGTAGATGGTCTATGTTTAAACTATGATCCAGCAACCTGTGGTTCAGTGGACTTATGTTTCTAGAGGGTTTAGTGCAGAAACTTGCCAGGTAGAAATAAGTAGATGCTTACAGCTACATAGGTTGTGGATGTAGTTCTTGATATATTGCAGAGTTGTACTATTATATACTATGTACACCAGAATTTGTAATAGTATACTATGTACACAAAGAATTAAACCCTGTCACTGACAAGCAATTTTATGGGCTACATGTTTGACCTCATGTTCTTTTTTGAAGGCTTAGTAAACCCTGAAAAGTATTCTGCCTTGTGAAGGTCTGCTTCTGCTGTAGCATCAGACTGTTGGCATCTCCGTCACTGGTGGTGTAAGAATTGAAATTACACTAGTTAATCGGAGTATTCTATTTTACAATCTCATTCCTTTTGGTGATATTCTGAAATGCAGATCCGAGTGGTGGCGTTCAAGTTTTCCAACATGACCATCTGCAAGGCTATTGCAGGGAGGAAAAGGGTACACATTGTGGATTACGGCATACATTACGGATCCCAGTGGCCAGGTTTGCTGAAATGTTTATCTATATGCCCGGGAGGGCCACCGAAATGAGGATCACTGGCATTGATCTTCCCCAGCCTGGGTTCCGTCCAGCGGCTCGGGTCCAGGAGACAGGGCGGCTGCTTAGCAGTTATGCTTGTCAGGTCGGCGTGCCGTTCAAGTACCGTGGCATTGCGGCTAAGTGGGAGACGGTTGGTGTTGATGATTTGGACATCGACCCTGATGAGGTACTCATTGTCAATAGCATCCTCCATTTTGGAAACTTGATGGACGAAGGTATCGACACGAGTAGCCCAAGCCCGAGGGATGTTGTTCTCAGCAACATCCGGAAGATGCGACCAGATGTGTTCATCCTTTTCATCACGAATGGCACATATAGCTCACCGTATTTTGTACGACGGTTCTGGGAAGCGCTATTCCACTACTCTGCAATGTTTTGACATGATGGATGCCACGACCCCACGGGATAGTGATCTACGCGTCCCAGAATGTCATCGCTTGTGAAGGCTTGGACAGGTTGGAGTGCTCTGAGACATATAAGAAGTGGCAATTGCGGAACCACCGGGCAGGGCTGAGACAGCTGCCGTTGGATCCAGATATTGTCAAGGCAGTGCGGGAGAGTGTCAGGGACAAGTTTCACGAGGACTTTGTCATTGATGTGGATCGTCAGTGGCTCCTGGGAGGATGGAAGGGACGCATACTCTATGCAATGTCGACATGGGCTGCTGCTGATTCTATGTTGGATTCTTAGCTGCTTTAATTTACTGGATGGGTTCAGAGATATAGATAATGGCAGCTGTTTATGATTCCTGAGTGTTGATGATGCTGAGCTTCTTTATTTCTTTTGTTCTTTTGTAGACATTTACAGATGGTGAACTTATGTTAATGTACAACAAACTGAACAACATCCCTCCTTTTGTTTTATTGCTGAATGTTATGCTGTGACTGAAAAGCAAATTTGACTCTCATGTCATGTTTCGTGAAGTTCATTTAGGCTGTGACATAAGTTTTTTGGTGCTTCCCTTTCATTTGGAAAAGGGTAAACAGAAGGTTGATGAAGCATTAAAGCTATACATGTTATTCTGAGTAACTTCCTAGGCGGTTTCTACTAAATATTTTTCCCTTAATCCTTTCATTCAGGCAGTTACAGCAAAAGGAGGTGGTTAGATTCAAGATTACACTACCACAAAACAGGTCATGCGACACTGTAAAAAATCATCATTCCGATGATTTTTGAAGCGCCTGGTCTACTTTTCTTCACCAGATACGGAGATGTTGGTAATGTCAACTGTACATTTGTTTCTGACTTTCTGTAAATGAACTCATGAGCCCACTAGGTCTGTCCAGTTAATTATTTGTGTACTGGAAATCTGTGCTATGTGATTGATATTTCCCTGGTTAGGTGCAGAACCTGAACCTAAAACCTGATGTAAAGACATGTCCTGGTATTTGGCTCTCTGGAACTCTAAACAATGGAATTCTTGAACTGCACAGCAGCTGTTGTCCTGACTAGAGATGAAATTTATAACGACATACATGTCTTACTTAGAACTACACAGGGTCTTAGATATAGTTCCCTTTGTACTGGTGCAGAATTTGTGAAAATGTACAACAAAACCGAAGAACCATGTTTATTTATTTATTTATTGCTAGTTTATGGCTTTATTATTATGTAGCCTTGCAAATTGATAGGCTACTTATTTGAATTGATAGGCCTCTGTGTTATGTGATTCAACACACTTTATTTGAAGATGCTTGGATATAAGCAGTAGATGCATTGTAATGTCTTCTAATAATGTAATAGTCGATGTTTATTTGGGTGTTCTTGTTGCTTCTTATAGCTGCCAATAGGATCTTGGATTAGTTCTCAGTGTGTTGATGCTGCCTGTGTAAATGTACAACAAACTGAAAAACCACTTGTGGTACCTGTATTGTGAAGTCCACTTTCTCTTGTAACATTGTATATTCCCTTGCACCTGGAAAGAGTAAATGGGCACGAGATTAAGCATTAAAATTGCACATACTATTCTGTTATTCAGAGTATTGATTTCTGCTTCTTTGTTTTTTGGTGATTGTTTCAAATGCAAACTTATTGGTACCATACTTTCCCCATTTTCTACCTAGTTTCAAATTCCGGGGGATGGTTTCCGCTGAATATTTTTCTTAATTCTTTCATTCAGAGTACAGTTGAAAGAGGCGTTTCTGTCTTTTCCCTTTTTGGACTCAAACTATGGTAGGCTTATGCCACCTATCTGACTAAATCTTTTACTCAAAGCATAGGGAACAAATGATATAGTAGCATGCCGAGGTACAAGGGGCTTTCAAAGAAACTGTTTCTGCAATTTTGGGAGAGGTGCTGTAACACGTCTGTTGGCTAGGGCTGGTTGGGGGGTGCGGCTATGGTGGAAGGGGCTGGCTGTGGGGGGCTATGGAGGATGAGGGTGGCGGCTAGGGTTTGGTGGAGGTGCTGTTGGCGCAGGGAAGAGGGGCGGCGGCAGGAAGAGAGAGAGAGGCGCTGGAGGAAGAGGAGAGGGGGGAGGGATAGGAAAGCCCTTAGGCTATTTCTTTCTTGATTTCCAGTGAGTACAATACCCCTATATTTATAGTCCCTAATGGACTTGTGTCTCAAGCAACTACGGGAGATATCCTTATAGATTGGATTCCCCTTTCCTAAACAAACCAAACTCCAATCTCCTAATTTATTTCTATTTCTATTTTCCTAATTTCTTCAAGGGAAGGAGGCACCGAGCTGTTGCCGTCGGCGCTGGGGAGGTGCCATCAGGCGTGTGACAGGTGCTGGATGGCATCTTCTTATATGTGATGATACATACTAGTAAATAGTATGACAATTGTGAGTTTCTGAACAAAGATGGACACATTATGGTCACTGTAAGCTTACAATGATCCTTTTATCATACTAATTTGTTCACAGTAGTACTAAGTTACTGGTGATGATAGAGAAAGGCCCACAGTTGCGCATCTGCAAATTGGGCGTCAGTTAATCTTAGGACAATTCTCCACCTATTGGGATTCACAATTTCATAGTAGTATGAACCTTGAGCTTTATATATGCATAAGAGATTCAGAGTAGCAGTTTTTGCAATGATGCTTCCACATGTTCATCAGTTGATATCGAATCACTGGCTTACTGGTGCGTTGAATGCTGAACCTGCTAGGATTCCAGTAGGACTTTTGAGCTTTTGATCAAACTAGAGTAACATTGAACAAACTTCAGATCAGAGATGTTTGTTGCTTGCCTCAATCATTTCTCAGTCTATGTTTTTCTTAGGACAGTTTCTTTCTCTATGGAGTGTTCTAGCTTAGATACTGAAAAACTTCTTTCTTGGAAGGGAGTAGGCTCACAGTATGCATTTCTCTATCATTTTTATTTGTTTCTCTTCAGGTTGGGTACAATAATACCTGACCAAATGTGCACAGTCTGATTCTTAGAAGCTGACATATGTAGATTTGAAGAAGGTGCAATTTGGTCAGTTTTTTGCTCTGTCCGTCCATTCATATATATGTTATATGACCTATGCATATGCAGCATGGACAAATTCAGGATTATTTTGTACCCAGCTGACAGGCCATAATTTAGTTTCATGAATCATGTGCAGTGTATTGTGTCTATGCTCCATTCTAGTAAGAAAAGGAAAAACTTTAGTAGGAAGAGAAGAGTCAGTTACTCTGTTTCCAAGTACCAGGTGTTTGATACTGCAGAGACTCTTGTCAAATGTCAAGCACCTAGCTAGGATTCTAGTAAGACTTTTGAGCTTTTGATCAAACTAAAGTAATATTGAAGATTGAACTAAGTTCAGACTAGAGATGTTTGTTGCTTGCCTTGGTCATTTATCACTTTGTTTTTCCGAAGACAGTTTCTTTCTATGGAGTGTTCTAGCATAGAGAATCGTACTGTTTTTTGGAGGGTGTATAGGTTCACTCTATGCAGCTCTGTCATGTTTATTAGTTTACTTTTCAGGTTTGGTACAGTAATAATTTTGTTCAAGAGTCCATGTTTGGAGCAGGGTATGAACATCTGAGGAAATGTGGGCAGCACTTTTAGAGGCTGACATATGCAGATTTGAAGCAGGTGCAACTTGGTCTGTCTTTTGCTTTGTCCATCCATATTTATATATAGATTATTCAGCATGAGCAAGTTCAGAATTTTGTTATGCCAGGTGACAGAGACCGACCTCTGTTACCTAATCCTATATCAGGTGAGTGCATTGTGTTTGCTGCGTTCTAACAATAAGAGAATAAAAAGAACTTTTTGTAGGAAGAGAAGAGTCCTTTATCTGTTTCAATAATTGTTGCAGGTATCTGATACTGCAGACTCTTGTCAACCACCCTGCTGATGGAGGAAGAAACTTGGCAATTTCAGGCAGAAGAACAGAAGACTGTTTGCATCCACGGGCGGGAGAAGACAAAAGAAGAGTCCCAGCAGGGTCCATCACAGTTGCGTTTGGCCTCGCCCTCATCTCATCTTGGAGCTGCCAAGGTCGCATCAGAATTTTCAGAACGAACTTCTCGGCGCTTTCCCTTCCCACTCCCAGCTTCTCTCCCCTCCTTTCTCCCTCTGAAAAGAAAAGAAAAAGATTTCGTTTTTATCCATCCACCAGTCTACCACAACATTCAAAGCTTCCATTTTTTTTTATCCCACCCAACCCAGACTACCCAGCCTGGCAGCCATGGCCGCCTCGCCGGACGATTTCGTGGCTGACCCTGCCGAGCCCTTCTCCCCCTCCATCTTCCTCGACCTGCCCCCGACGCCCTGCCCCGACGGCAATGGCGAGGGCAAGGACCCGGTCTCCGATGACCTCGTCCTCCCCTTCATCGAGCGGATGCTCATGGAGGAGGGGATCCACGAAGAGTTCTTCTACCAGTACCCCGACCACCCCACGCTCCTCCAAGCCCAGGAATCGTACGCGCGGGTCCTCTCCGACTCCACCGCGGATTCCTCTTCGGACGGCATCCCCACCGTGTCGGTGTCCTCCGGCTCCGACGACCTCACCACGGATGCCAGCACCGCGTCCGAGCTGTGCCCGGCGCAAGCGCAACTAGGGGATGCTGGCGTCCGGAGTGACACTGCCGCCGTGGAGGAGATGGAGAAAAAGGCCAACAGCACCATGCTTGCAGCCGTCGATGGTGACCACGCCGCGCTGGCCTTCCTCAAGGGCATGGAAGAGGCCAACAAGTTCCTGCCTAGAGACATCGACCTGCTGCGCGGCTCTGCCACCGTCCTTCAAGTGAAGGAAGAGGCAGAGGAGGGAAGTGCCAATTGCAGGGGCCGCAAGAACCGGCACAACTGGGATGATGTCCTGGAGTCCAATTTTGGCAGGGGGAGGAAGATGATGGCGCCTGAGGCGGAGGAATCTGGTGAGGTGGTAGACGAAATGATTGCCAATGGGTTCCAATTGTTCCTCAGAGAGGTGGAGGGCCTCCGCATCAGTATGGGCAGCGAGGCCGAGAAGAAGAGCAGGAAAGGGATTGCGCAGAGCACCAATGGAATGGTGGACTTGTGCACCTTGCTCATACATTGTGCACAGGCCATGGCAACGGACGACCGCCGGAGCGCGGCCGAACTGCTTAGGAAGATCAAGCAGCATTCTTCTCCACAGGGAGACGCCACACAAAGGCTGGCACATTATTTCGCTGAGGGATTGGAGGCGCAGCTGGCTGGTTCAGGGAGCCTGGTGTACAATTCGCTCATGGCAAAGCGCACCTCGGTCGTGGATTTTCTCAAAGCCTACCGGCTGTACGCGGCAGCCTGCTGCTTCCGAGTGATGGCGTTCAAGTTTGCCAACTTGACCATCTGCAAGGCTATTGCAGGGAGGAAGAAGGTGCACATTGTGGATTACGGCATACATTATGGGTCCCAGTGGCCTGGTTTGCGCAAGTTTTTATCTGTATGGCCGGGTGGGCCACCGGAAGTGAGGATTACTGGCATTGATCTTCCCCAGCCTGGGTTCCGTCCAGCTTCTCGGGTCAAGGAGACAGGGCGGCGGCTTAGCAATTATGCCTCTCAGTTCGGCGTGCTGTTCAAGTACCGTGGCATTGCGGCTAAGTGGGAGACGGTTGGCGTTGATGATTTGGACATCGACCCTGATGAGGTACTCATTGTCAATAGCATCCTCCATTTTGGAAACTTGATGGACGAAGGTATCGACACGAGTAGCCCAAGCCCGAGGGATGTTGTCCTCAGCAACATCCGGAAGATGCGACCAAATGTGTTCATCCTTTTCATCATGAATGGCACATATAGCTCACCGTATTTTGTACCACGGTTCCGGGAGGCGCTATTCCACTACTCTGCAATGTTTGACATGATGGATGCCACGACCCCACGAGATAGTGATCTACGCGTTCTGGTTGAGCGGGATCTCTTTGGCCAGTGTGCCCAGAATGTCATCGCTTGTGAAGGCTTGGACAAGGTGGAACGCCCTGAGACATATAAGAAGTGGCAGTTGCGGAACCACCGGGCAGGGCTGAGACAGCTGACATTGGATACGGATATTGTCATGGCCGTTCGGGAGAGCATCAGGGACAAGTTTCACGAGGACTTTGTCACTGATGTGGATCATCAGTGGCTCCTGGGAGGGTGGAAGGGACGCATACTCTATGCAATGTCGACATGGGCTGCAGCTGACGCTATCTCGAATTTTTAGCTGCTTTAATTTACTGGATTCAGAGATATAGTCTAGATAATGGCATCTATATATACGTTAGTGTGTCAATGTACTGGTTCTGCTCAGCAGCTGTATGTTACAAGGTACTTAGTTCCAAAATGACTGGGACTAGAGTTGACATTTACAAGGTAGAAACAAGTTCAGACATAACATTCGATGTTTATTTAGATTAGATGGTCCTATTGCTGCTTGAGCTACATTGTATGTTAGATATGATTCCTGAGTGTTGATTATGCTGAGCTTCTTTTTTTTTTTTTTGAAACATGTACAGGTAGTGAACTTATGTTAATGTGCAACAAATTGGAGAACAACCCTCCTTTTGTTTTGTTGCTGTATGTTATTCTGTGACTGAAAAGCAAATTTGACTCTCATGTGATGAGATATATGATTTGTGATGTTCGGTTGTGACATGGTTTTTTGGTGCTTCCTTTTATGGAAAACGGTAAACAGAAGGCTGTTTAGCATTAAAGTTATATATGTTATTCTGAGTAACTTACCAGGCCGTTTGTACTGAATATTTTTCCTTAATCCTTTCATTCAGGCAGGTACAGCTGAAGGAGGTGATTACATTCAAGATTACACTACCACAAAACAAGTAATTGCATAATGTAAAAGATGATCATATCAGACGTTTTTTGAAGTTTCTGTTATAGAGGGTAGCAGAGATGTTGGTAAATGGCAACTGTACAAATGTTTCTGACTTCCTCTGAATGAACTCATGAACCTAATAGGTGTGTCCAGTTAATTGTTTGCATTGTTTACTGGAAATCTGTGATATGTGATTGATATTTCCCTGGTTGGGTTCAGAGCCTGAACCTAAAAACTGATGTAAAGACTTCCTATTTGGCTCTCAGGAACTCTAAAAAAGATGAACTCTTGAACTGCACAGCAGCTGTGGTTCATTCTTGCAAGACGGCCTAGACTAGAGATGTAATTTATAGTGATATACATGTATTTCTTAGAACAACACAGGGTCTTAGATAATAGATATAGTTACCTGTGTGCTGGTGCAGAACTTATGAAAATGTACAACAAAACTGAAGAACCCTGTTTATTCATTCATTGCTAGTATATGGCTTTATTGTTCTGTATTCTTGCAAATTTATAGGCTACTTATTTCAACATAGTCTGGTGAGATTTCTGTCGTGTGAAGTTCTTGTGACATCAGAATTTTGGAGCTTCCCTTTCATCTGAAAAGAATATTAAAAGAAGCATGGTAAAGTATTAAAGTTGTTCAGGTTGTTCATCAGAGCATTGATTTCTGTTTATTTTCATTGTTTTGGAGATGGTTTGAAATACAAAATTATCGATACAGTACATCCACCCATTTTCTCCCTAGTTCCAAATTTCTCAGGCAGTTTCTGATTCTATTTTTGAGACAAGTGCAGCTAGAGGAGATGGCTGTATTCAAAATTTTCATGGTATTTCTGCAATTTGTTTAGTCAGCGCAATACTGAGTGCTGAAGCTTGTATGTTAGAAATGAGGTGATGCTTAGAGCTATATTGGTTGTAGATATAGTTGTGGATGTGTTGCAGAGTTTATGGTAACTTGCACTGAAATTTAAAACCCAGTAGCTGTCTAGCTGATAAGCAATGTTTGACCTTTCATGTGTTTTTCTTTAACGCAATTTGACCTTTCATGTGTCGAAGGCTTAAAGCCTTTAAAAAATCGGTCTTGTGAACTACTAGTATTTCTGTTGTAGCATCAGACTACTTTTGGCATTTCCCTTGCGTCTGGGCGTGATTATGCATTAAATTTGCATTGATTAATCAGAGTATTTCATTTCTGAATCTTCGGTTTTTTGTGTGGACATTTCTGCATCTTCATCAAAGTCTCAATTTCCCAGGCAATTTATACTGAATATTCCCATTTTCCACCATTTTGTCATTCAAGAAGGTGCAGCTGAACGAGGTCATCAGATTCAGGGATCAAGTGTTGACTGTGTTATTTCTGCAACTCAGGAATAGTAAATGGCTGACATCTGCTCGATGATGCATGGTATGAATCATACAGCTGTGAAAATTATGATGTGACGTTTTCTGCACAAAGATGGACACCTTGTGCATTCTTTAAGCTTGCAATGATCCTCATCATATAACTTCCATCTTATTGATCCTGAGTTATTGGTGAAGAGCAGGAAGGTCCACTGCTGGAAATTTGCATACCAGCTGTCGGTTTTTGTGGCCTCATGGAATATATTGAGCATGGTTACATAATCTGGTTGGATTAGAATATATTGAGCCTCCATAGAACCACATTATCCCCGAATACGCTTAGTTTTTGTGGTATGATTAGTGATTCCATCTTGCAATATAGTATGCATTTGTTCACTTTTTCAGGTTTGGAGTACCAGTAGCCTGGATCACCTCTGTCCATGTACGTAGATGGGGAGAGAAGCAAAGCATGTAAAATTTGGTTATTGCAACCTGACAGGTACCGGTTTTTTATCTGTCTGATTTTTTGCTGCCGTCCTGTCAGCATTGCATTCCCTTCTTGGAACTTTCCTTACCTCTGTTGAGTGTATGTACAGAAAGCCTCAAAGCTTGGGATCGGCCAACTATTGCACATCGGCAGCCAAAGCTTGGATTTTTTTTAATACCACCCAGCAGGCAGCAGCAAGAGGTCAGCCAGCCATGGCGCGAGGAGCACAATGGCTCGGCATGGCTATCTAAATTACAAATTCAAATGCCTGCCTCATTCAGACTTTTTCACGAATCACAAATATCATCCGAATATGCAAAAACATCTGTTTCTGCAAGTGCAGTAATCACTGTTTACATTATTAATTATGAGTATAATAGCTCCCAACTAATAAACAAAGGGGAAATTAGTAAGCACAATGGAAAACATCCGATTCTTCTGATTGAATAAAGTGTGTAAAGAATCATAATGCAGATAGATGGCACACATTATCCACAGGCAGGCTGGCAACACCTTCTACTCCAAATCCATAAGAATGTCATTGATTCATGCCATATCTCTGCCGTGGCCACACACACATCAAGCCAGTGGTGCTGGTGCTGGTGCTTGTATTTTTGGAGCCGGGTTTGTATACGCGGCCCAACCAGATATGACTAATAAGGGCCAGTAGTCAAATAACATTGTAAACATGATAACACTTACTGAATGTCCCCATGCCCAAAGTAGCCCCTTCCTCGTGCGTAACGGTGGTAGTAGAAGAAGACGTCTCGAAATAAGTTCCACATTTTTATGTAGCACTACGAGACAAGTGAGGACGCATGTGGCGACTGCAGTCTTATGAGCCACCGGAGCTAGCACCACATATGCACCAAGTGCAAAGGCAGCTGCCAAACTTGTAAGTGAAATGGATAGGAGGTAGAAGGCTGTGCCTAGGTGTATTTGGCGGCTCAGAGGGTTCAACAAAGGAGTTCCAGAATACATGAGACCAATGGTAGCCATCGCTTAGAAAATGAAGGCCAATGTGTTGGACGCGATGAATGCATCAAAAGCATACCTTCGTGCAAGTATTGGTGAGCCTCCATTATTGTGATCATCAGCTATACAGCCTGTTTGTTTGGCTTTGGCTTGTCGTAAACGATCGTAAATTTTCAGCCGGAACAATATTTTTCTCTCACACAAACCAGCCAGCGGTACTTCTTCACGAATCAGCAATGAAACGAACTAGCCAACCGAACAGGCTGTATGTAACCTCCAGGGACAGCAAAAGTTACGCCAAATGTCACGGTTGCTATTAGAACTAAACCAATATGCATAGTTCCCCTCGAGTCTTTCACCACCTCCATTTCTTTACTTTCATCATGTTTTACTGTCACAGTTTTGTTATCTTTCAAGTGATCATGGCGACGGGCACCCTTCACAGCACCGGCAATTCTGAGTGTGCGACATATCTGTACATCACTATTCTGCAAAAGCAAAACAAATAGAAGCTGAGCAGAAGCAAAATATCAGTTTGTAAAATAAAATGAGCATATGGATTACCTCAGCATAGTAGAATCCATCTTCAGGAATCTTATATTCTCTGCTATATCTAATGGAGTCCCCCCTCTACTGTTTGGTAAATTTAAGTTTACTTGTGGATTCGCCAATAGAGGACAAAACATTTGAAGGCTCCCTGCCTCAACAGCGAGGTGAAGTACAGTGTTCCCATCATTGTCTACCATATTCATAATCCATGATAGTGATAGATTTCTGCAGACACTCCTGATTACATTGGCCTCCTTTTTCTCAACAGCAACATGCAGAAATGTCCTTCCCTTAGCATCGCACAGACTGGCACTACCAGGGCATCTTTTAACAAACATGTCAATGTTCCAGGAACCACCTACAGAGGCAGCAACGTGTATGGGAAAAAATCCGGCATGGTCTGGTTGATACAGGGCATCGGGATTAGCTTCCAATACTTGCCGGTAAATGCTTGATGGCCTAAATAGAAACTTTATAGCTGCGGCAAAGTGAAGTGGAGTACTCCCATTTTCATCCCGTTGTGTGGTAAGGTCCTTATTTTGCGGGCAGTGTGTTTCATTCCATTTTAACAATTTCGTAAGGTCTGCAAACACCTTTCTTTTATTATCAGACTAATCAAGGTGAGAAAAAAAACTATGCGAATAAAGGAATTATTAGTTGGAATACACTACCAGATCAAGGAAAGCTACGGTTTTCCTCAAAATATTATTTAGAAGAAACTGCCAATGAGTGTACCTAGCTAAATTTCAATTGCATTTCCAAGTGACCGAGGACTTAAAAATTAATGAACTAGTCACGTTTTTCAACTCATGCCATCTTAAACTTTCAAAAAATGTCTAGTGGCGTCCTGTTATGTGTGCACTGCACCCAACAAAAGATGCAGACCCTTTTTAGAAAGTAGTATTCCATTCCAAATTGTAAGTCGTTTTGGATTTTTTAAATACATAAGTTTTTATTATGTATCTAGACATAACATATATCTAAATGCATAGAAAAAGCTATGTACCTAGAAAAGTAAAATGAATTACAATTT